CTCAAAAGGGACTTCAATCGCCGATTCGCTTTAGAACGAAGCATTCATATGGGGGGACCGTCCAGTATGACGTCATTTGAATTACGGGTTTCGTAACGGAAAGACACCAATCATAATGAGGCAGTGTAGGAAATTCTATTTAACTGACGGGGACTCATATACCAGGACAGGTGCTATTTACTAAAACAGTACCTGCTAATGTAAAAAGACTTTCAAATAACGCTATTTGCTATTCAAACAGCCCGTCCTACGAAGCTGGTTCTCTTTTTAGCAAGCTACATCTCCATGGTAACTTATGCTGTGCGGCTAACCTGCCCCGGAGCAGGTTAGGTTGCAGGCTAAGAGCTCAACTCAGTGAAAGCACTGCCTGCTGACCAATCAGAGCTCAGTGTGCAGAGTTGAAAGCGATCAAGTCATATTACAGGAGAAAGGAAATACAGAAAACCTGCCGTTGCAGGAAAGACGGCAGGCAAAAATCACAGACTGTGTGAACGTGAACATTAATAGAATATCACCTCCCATCTTCAGAGCAATCTGACTATTATAACATTAGCGTTAAGATAGCTTACTTAAATATCTGCCACAACATAAGTAACCGGATCAAAGTACATTAAGTACAGTCCGCGGCATATCACATCATAATGTATCATATATTTCCTTATCTGAGTCAGCTGAGCCGTATCTGGCCGTGCAACACTCACAGTGTCACATACTGTATGCATAAGTATTATTTTAAGCAACACATTAAGTTGACGAAACACTCGAGACAAATCCACTCGTGTCAGTGTCTTAGACGGGGCAGTGATATCATAAACCTGTTAATGTACACATTCAAACACTTTTTCTTTTACCAGCTGTATTCACCTTGCAGGTGCAACTATGTGGCTTTGATCCTGGATAAAGTGTTTAAGTCATGGATATTTAAAGTTTAACTTCTTCATATTTGTCTAATTATAGTTGACTTTTCATTCAGGAAGTATGACGCTGCGCTGTCAGTACGCTTCTCCATGTTTGTGATTGGTGGAATGCTCCAAATACCACCCCTTTCATGTGAACGCGCACCTAACTAGATAGGACACGGCTGGCTTGAGCGATCAAGTTGATAGCCAGCATCGTAGGACAGTTTAGCGAGAGCGCGTATGTTTTGGATTAGGCCAACCGGCTAACTCAAACATATCCAGGTTAGGTTAAACCAGCTTCGTAGTACAGGCCTCTGATCTAGTTTCCCTAACATTTAAGTCTTCTGCTGACGCATCACGATCCATGTGAAGCAATCACGGCACAAATAATGCCCATTTCATTCATTATATCTAGAATAAGCCAAATAATTTCTTTGCGTTGATAAGTATTATCAAAAGGACTGCCCAAAATAAAGTGTGAAAAGAAAATGCTCCTGTGTTTCACCTGATGAGGAACATTGTACAGTTGCTGTGGAGGGGGTTGCTGCTGTTGTTGATGTTGCTGCTGATGTTGATGTTGTTGTTGTTGATGATGTTGTTGTTGATGTTGTTGTTGTTGTTGCTGTTGTTGCTGCTGCTGCTGCTGCTGTTGCTGCTGCTGTTGCTGCTGCTGCTGCTGCTGCTGCTGATACTGCTGGAGGGCTGAATTAAGCTGAGACTATATACATTACAGAAAACATGGGAGAGATAGAGATTGATTACAATGAAGAACGATTACATGTGACTACAGAAAGCTGCATATATTGCTGAGTGTGCTTTAGTACTGTGTGACTGACCTGCTGTAGTGCTGCTGCGGCAGCTGCTGCAGCTTGCTGCTGCAGGGCAGCAGTTTGCTGAGACAGCTGATAGTTTGCAGCAGACTGGTTGCTGAGAGAGGCTGCAGCCAAGGCTGACTGTTGAGAGTAAACAGAGGGCGATGCTCCCAATAGAGATGGCTGCTGCACACCAAGAGCTATGAAGAAGGAAAATAGGGCATTAGATTAAAAATGGGAGTGAAAACTAAAACTAAATGGGGGAAACGTTGATATGTGCTATATACGTTATTGTTACCACACATCTAATAAGAGAGGTTTTTGTTTGTTTGCTATACTCACAATGCAAGCTATTCAGGTCAAGAGGCTGTCCGGAGTGACCCGGCTGGGACACCGCTGTGGTAGCAAACTGCGTGGCCCACGGCGGATTCTTCTGTCCCCCGAATTGGGCCATGACTCATTCAGGTTAAGGGTATTCTCTGCTCACCAAGCCGTTGCTTTTCAATAAAAACAAAGCCGAGAAAAAAATAACAAATTAGCCAGGGGTAAAGGATTTGTAATAATTTAACACAAACCGTAAAGTACGTTGGGGAGATGAAGTAGGTTGAACAGGGAGACGTGTTTGCATTTGCAGGCAAGGATATGCAGCAAGCAACACGCAGGACTAAAACAAGGTCCAATGTAATATAAGCACCTTTAAAACTTGCTGTCAAAATGAGGAACAGGGCACCAGGAAATAAGCTATGTTTCTTATTATGAAGTAAACACTTTCTGGACAACCTACAGCCATTAACCTTACGCACGGTTAATTTGATATATATTGACACCAACTGCCAAACACGAAGGACTGAATTAATCAATTCGAGAGAAAGATTTAGTACGTCGAAAGAACAATGTAATTACTTCCGTACGATTTCAATAACAAAATTGGTTACCCGTGATTTCTGCAGAGCTCCGTAGCTTAATAACTGCTGACACAGCGACTTCTGGCTAACGTTAGCAACTGCAACTGACAGAATGATAGCTAGCTACCATTTTAGCCAATGCTGTTATTGTTGTGCTTAACACCAGCTAGTCAAAAACATATTTTGACCAGGTCATTGTGGCTTGATTAACATAATAAAAACATGCCTTTGTAAGCTAATACAACATTAAAACGCATTATGGTATTGTAAAAAAAAGATAAAACGCTAAGAGCTATGCGTTGCTAGCTAACGTTGTGATGCCGTTAGCTTTGTTGCCAGATTAGCCTCGTGCTGGATTGGATAACGAATGCGAGGCCGCAGATGGCACTGTAACGACCAATGTTTAAAATTATAATGTAAAACATTCATTCATAGCACCAATTCCCTTGTACGCAATTATTAATCGCACATTAAGTGTTCCGTATAATTTAAAGTAGTAAAGGTCTTGCGTAAAACATAGTCAGCAGTGCTTACCAATGTCCCCTGCGCCGGCCGATGTAGACATGAACTGAGCATGCGCGAAGAAGAACCGACTCAGCTCAACTGCCAACCTTTTTCCTTGACGACCTCACTATTATTATTATTATATTAATCTCTATGCAAAACATAAAAATACAGAAAGAACTGAAGAATTGTAAAGTTTACCCGAATACTAAACGCAACAACGACAGGAAGTTTGTGTAAAACAAACAATTTGGATGATTTTTAAACAGATTATTTGTTGTCAATAAATGCATCAGAGATCAGTTTATCTGTTGTATTTATGAATTTGTTATGTCCTTGGCTTTTTGGTCATATTTTGTTTAATAATTCGGTGTTTTCCCCTCCCTATGGCTTGGCAATTATTCTATTACCTCTGTTTGGACTTTTCTAATGCAGGGCAAGCCTTTTAGCAGATTGTGTTCAGTTGTTCTCATGCCCACAATTGTATTTAGTTTTCTTCAAATAAATGAATTTCATTGTAAAATATAAGCCAATAAAAAAAGTTGTATTACACACCTTAAAACCAAGGTTTCATGATGACCATATTAAGCTTTTGCAAACCCACAGGTTGGGAACCAGTGCTCTGCACAGCTGAGATTCAATAAAGTAGTAAATACTTTTTTATTTGTCAATAGCTATCAATTTAATATGAAATATTATTCTGTTATTTAATAATTGCTAAGTGTAAAGACTGTGACAATTCAGTAGCCTTTGCTTTAGTTATTTCTAGTGTTTTCTCTATGTGGGACGAATTGACACTGGGAGAAAATAACAGCAGCACGACAAAGGGAGTCAACAACAACTATTTGCTTTCAATATGTGAACTTTGTTTGATACAGTGATACATTGGAATAATGAAGTCCAAAGCACATAAATAGCACAACGGTCTTAAAGGGAGTTACACAGCACACTAACTTATAGTTCAGTAATTTTTGTGTTGTTATATTGCAAAAACAAAGGAAATATGTATCCAACCTTCATTCTGCATGAGCATAACCGTTTCACCTTTCACAATACGTCCATTCTATGAAAATATTCTTTCAAAATATAAAATATTTATAAGAAATAAATACATCACAACATTTAAAGCAATCACAGTAGAACATTTTGACCTGCTCAAAGTACTTTCTGTATACAGGTATTTTCCTGTAATTGCTATCTTGATAACAGGGGCATACAGTATGTACACATATGAACATGAACTCTAGTAGCATATAGCATACACACAAAATAGCAGGGGGATAATTTTCTCTTTCCATTCACATTATAGAATGGCCCTACTGGGAATTATGCTATGTATTTACACAGTGGAATATACTCTTCCTACAACGAGATGCATAAGGGAGTCGGTCCAAGACGTTTTTATTCTTGTAATTTGCGTTCCAGCTCTGAGAAAACCTTTGCATTGATTTCATCAACTTCATCTTCCACCTGGTCAAAAAAGATAATTGACAAAATGTTAAATGTGATGGTAAATGATGTACAGTCATATTATGACAAACACTCAACTTAGAAAAGTAGTAGGTAACAAGGAAAAACGCACCCACAGACTGAAAGGTCTGTGGTCATTGCTCGGTCTTAAGAGCCCACAAATGAAATTGAATTGAGATCACAGCACAATTTCCTTAACAATAATCCTCACAGAAACGTATGAAACCAATTCATAATGAAACATAATTGAGGCTTAGTCTCAAACAAAAACCTGCACAAAGGTCTGCTAATCCATATAAATAATCACCTGCTCCACATTTTCTACTTCCGGGATATAAAACTGCATCATGTTCTGAATGCCGTTCTTCAGGGTAACGGTAGAACTGGGACACCCTGTGCAGGAACCAACCAGCTTCAGCTTGACCGTGCCGTCCTCAAACCCCTTAAAGATGACATCACCTCCATCCTCCTGCACTGTAGGTCTTGTGAGCAATACACACCATATCAATTAGTTCAGAACATAGGAAACACATAGGACAGAGAGATTAAGACTGCTATCTCAGCATCATTGTTATGAGTGTTGAGTACAAAAATATCCGAGAGGAAATATTGGATAAGTCTGTCCAGTGCATGACAGATGACATGTAGTTCCACTGCTGTTGTAAAGTCGATTAGCAGTGCCGGACACTCTCAGTTTTGCTAATTATAACCTCAATGGATCTCAAAGTTATAGGTTTTGTACCTTATTCTGGTGTCAAGAAGCTCCTTTATCATGGATACGATTTCATCATCATCTTCAGAAATACCTACAATGAAAACAATGAACAGTTTGAAGATATTTACACAAGCGGACAAATAACTCTAAGATCACTAATACTATAAACTCACTGCTTTCATGGTGCACTGCTCCTACTGTTATTGGATCACCACTCTCAAAGAAGTTAGCAATGGCCTCCGAAGCATGACGCTTAATGTCTGTCCATGCCACATCCTCATCTGTCTGATAAGAAAACAAAGATCTCACGTGTTGTATCACCACACAGATTTCATGGTAATGCATGACGTGTACATTTGATACTTACTTTAGTGACTGTGATGAAGTCAGGGCCAAAGAACACACTTTTTACTCCTTCAATTTCAAACAGTTCCCTGAAAGAAACATCTAATCATGTTATTGTTCCAACAAAAGAAAACATACAAATGACAGCATGGAGTCTATCTTCATGTTGGTTTATTTAGTGATAACAACTTCCGCTCGGATTGGCTTTTATCAAGTGTGTCATTGATGATTGCACTGCTTTTTAAGTTGTTGTCAAATACTTTATGTATCAGCAAACAAAACATCTTATCTACACAAGCTATTCCCATGCTGTCAACTGACAGATGTATTCTGCACTTGGTGCATTCGTCACATCTGCTGTATGTATTATTCTACTGTGTCACTTCGAACAAATTACAACAAAATCATGTATTGCTAAATGAAGACAATATTCAGTGTCAAACAATTGTTTATAAGAGGAAACCCGCACTAATACAAATAATGCATATCTTTAACTTGTGAAGATCAATACCTATTAAATCAATACAAGTTATCTTTTTTTCAAACAGAAATCGTGAGTAGACATACATCCATCAGTGTTATATGAGTGTGCAGAATCTGATGATTTCAAAAACATGACACTTCTTCTATGAATTGTGATTTCCTTAAATAATTCTATATTGTAAAACCAAAAACAACACATACATGACAAAGTTCAACAATCATGACACTCAACCTGGCTAATGATGAACATTCAGCTGTGCTCGGAGTCGGAAAGTCAAGCGTCCCACTTCCTAGGACAGGTTTTCCAGGGAGAAACTTCAAACTTCTGGGGTTTGGAGTGTCTTGAGTCTGGATGGACAGGTGTCTTGCTGAAAGATATTATAAACATATTTTTCAGTATTCATTTGGTCATGTTTAAGAAACAACCTGCAGAGAATAAGTTAATGTTTCAAGGTGTCCAAACATTGGTTTCTCACTTGAGAAGTGTGTGCTTCCTGTCCAGAGCTGAGGCTGAACTTTTCCGAAGATCTGGGTCGAGCTCAAAGAGAGGTACGAGCTTTGGGTCTTCACTGGAAACCTTGAAACGTAAAAACATTTGACATAACTGTCAGTCTACACAAGTCTTAAACGAATTCACTTCTTGAGAACCAGTACACAATTAGCGGGCTTTGATGGATGAAAGCAACATCCGTTTCCTTAGCTGTTTTATTTCACAGTTTGAAAGGGAGACGCTTTGTCATTGTACTGATTTAAAGTTTACAGCCCTAGCAAGCTATCGTTAGCAGCTAACTTACAACCTTGGGATGTGGAAAAACGTAAAATCAAAGAAGAAACGAAGTAGAAATGACTAAATCTGCCGATTTGATATCTCCACCTGTAAATATATGGATAAGAGTTACAAACCTATCTAGTGTCGCAGTTAGCTAGTTAGCTAATAATCTAGCTAATGTCAACCACACGTCTGAATGTCACGTCCATGCTTCATGAAAGTGTTGCTACTTTCCATATCAGTGAAACAAAATGTGTCGAAAATAAAATGTCAGATGTGTAGAGGTTCAAACCTAAAATGAGCCGTATTGCTTGCCCGTAACAACCGTAGAAGACCCCGTCTCATGTGCACCGCCATTTTGTTTGTTTTGAAAATGAGGACCCCATGTGGTGACAGCACAAAATCCAGATCCTAATATCTGAATCTTCATTTCCCTAGTGAATATATAAATAAACTTGCCTTTCCTGCCTAGTGTAACAATTAAGGTATTAAGAGCACAAACCAGACAATTTAACATAACAACAAAGGGATAAAATACTATTATATATTTATAATTATAATTTTTCGTAAAAAAATAAGGTCACATCTGCTGCATAATAAATCTATTAGTGTAATATTTATATACTAATAATTAATATATATATGAATAATTAGTCCTATATTTAAACTTGTACTGCATTGTTTTAAGTTAATGAATTCTGAGATTCCTAATTGTGATTTTCTCTTTAAACCCTAGTGTATGAGCATTGTTGACCCTGAGAACAGCCTTTTAATTTTTTAATTTTTGTACAAATGATAGTGATAGTTAGCCTATATAAAGTACATGCAGGCTACTTACATTCCACAACACCTACAACAGGTAAAACAAAGCCTGTCACTTGATCATTTAAAGCATTCCTAAGATAACAGTCAGAGTTCTGAGATTAGTTTGTTCTATCACTCTCATATTGTGTGTCTTTATGCACACATACTATCACATCAATAGAAGAGTGCATATATAAAACCCAGTCCTCTATAACAAACTGTTGAGTGACTTCAGATAGAGCAGAATTAAACAAACAACAAGATTGCCAGAAGAAGAAGGCCAGCCCCATGTTTCCCAACGTTTGCTCTGACAGGGAAAGGTGGTGCTCAAAAGGAGTGGCAGAGAAAGAATGACTCTCCCATAAAAGCAGGGCTTTGTGGATGGTGGAAGACTGTCGCAAGGCAATTGTGTGCTTGAAAAACGTGAACTACATTGACACCATAGGATTAGGACTTTCTTTGTTCCAGTACTAATCTTGATTTGTAGGTATGAGGCTGTCTTCATGAGGAACTCCTGAAGAGGTCTATCGTTGAGTGCGTTTAAGACAACTGGACTTGAGGAATCCCTTTTTGAATCAGTGTATTTCCTTCTTCACCACCAAGACATGGTTTTCTGGATTATCTTCCCCATATCCCTCTCCCTGGTGTCCTTCATTGGAACATGGACTGTGTAAGTTAACCAAAGATCAACACTTCCTTAATTGTCTTTACGCTCTGGTGAATTGTTTTTCAAGTATTTCTTATTCTGTTATACCTTTTATGCTTCTGTTCATTGTATAATTTACATATGACAGCCTTAAGCTGATCACGAAACAAGAACCACAATGTGTTAGGAAGGTTCCTTGATAATGTTTTTCATGTTTGGCACTATTGAAAATGACACTTTATAATAATCAAAGTTTGTATTCCATCTGCATATTCCTGTTTTAGGACATTAAGTTCCAGTAATACTTATTACAGAACAGGAAGTTGTGAGATGGCATAAAGTCATGTCTGGCAGATATATGTTTCACATGCTTTGAATATAATTTCAATTTTTAAAGTGTATATGTAAGAGATAAGTCAGAGCAGCATGAGAAAGCTCGAGAGCTAATACTATTGAACATATTATGAAACAGAAGTCATAAAACAAGTCCTACGGCTTGTTTGTTGATAGGTGTGCACACCAGAATTTCAAGAAATATACTTATTCATTCTGCCTTGTCATTTAGTGATATTGGGTATAGTTTCTTGCCATGTTACAGTAGTCCATTCTTGAGAGTGGAGTCAGAACTTGTTTTAGTTTAATGCAAGATACATTTATGGTGATTTCTCGATGAAAAACCACAAGATAGGGTTGAATGAACACCAAATATGTTGGTGGTGATCAAAAGGTGAGCCGTACAACAAAATCATTGGAGCTTAGAGGCAGTAATCCTTTTTTTTAAAAACTATTGTCGTTTATTGCATGTTGGTAGGTTTTAAAAAGTTCGAAAATATATATTACCTTCCCAGAAATCCTCATGAGCAGATTCAGGAAAGTGTTGCTAACAGTGTAAAGGAATGACTAAAGTCCTACTTTTATTCAAAAACATTGGAAGATAATGCTTTTTTTATTTGGTATTACACAGTAATGCAAAATCTACCATACAGTAGTTTGAATGTTCCTTTATATTAAATCAGAGTGTAATTGAGCCCACATTTCAAGTCATATATATTTACCATACTGATATGTTTTTGCTTTTGTTTTATCTTTCCAGATATGGCCTAGCGTTAGCTAACACACATGTGTGCTCTCTCAGTGACTGGTGAGTTGTGTCTCAGTATTGTAAAAAGTTGACCATCAGCATTTGAATGTGGCAGATTCCTCAGAAGCTAATTCATTTGTTTTCAGGGGGAGTGACAACTATTGCAAAGCAAATCATACCACTGGATGTTGCTTGGTTCCTACTATAAGGTGAGAATAGAATAATTAATGTGCAGAATAAATGTAATTTTTTTGCGTGCAACAGATTTTGGTTTGCATATGCACAATCTGCTATTAAAATGGATATGTTAAAGCACATTGAGCCCACATAAACATTTACAAAGCACTGTTTTACCTTTTACAAATCTAATTTTAGCACATTCCTTTTCTCATGCCGTTATCATTTTTATCATATTCGGTATAGCTTAGTTTTGCATTTTCAAACCTTCGTAATATTTGAAGCTTTTTCTTGCATTTTTATATATTAAAGAAAATCCTAATCGTGTTGGGAAAAATAAAATGTTTTGAATGGACTGGTGAAACAATTAACATTACATTATTACATATAACAACGTTATTTTGGTATTCTAGCTCAAGTGGAACTAAATCACCAGAAAACTCACTCTTCACAGCCACGATCAACGCAGGATCCTTTCTGTGTGAGTTTACCTGCCTACACATTATTTATGCTATTCCTGATATGTGTTCTAACATCTGTGATCTCTCTTCTTTAGTCCTGCTCTTCTGTATATTCCACCATGCTCATATTATGGAGAGACACAGATGTCATTCCATGCTGAGCAAGTTTGCGCTGGTCTTTGGTGTGGTGGCAGCCTTGGGGGCATTCGCAGCTGGAAACTGTAATGTAAGTACTTCACTTCCTGTTAAATGTTTGAAGATGTTTAAATAGCAGCTTTAAATTGCTATCATACTGTACGTTTCTGTGAGACAAATTTTACGACATCATATAATGCTGACAATAAAGCTTCCATTTGCACCTGTGTTGAAACAGCAAACAAAGGTGGGTAACTATTTGTTCAATGTCAGCTGTAGTGATTAAGTGCACAAGCCCCGTTTACAACAAGCTGGTACACCGCAACAGTTTAAAACCTAAGATGGGTCTGTTTGAAGTAAACTGTATCATTTTTATGTGACAAATGATAATAATAGGTGTTTGAAAGACATAAGCACTGCATCATTTAACAATCTGATATTACCACACCATACAACCCGTGTGTGAAACAGGAGTGAACCAGTTGCTAATAAAAATTGCCAATTGTCAGGTGGTTATTTAGTTGCATGCTAACTGCATGGGGTTATTTCCTTCAGTGAGTAGTTCATTAGTACAGATTTTATGTACGCACATCCATGCATGTATCAATGTTTACATTCATCTCTGCCCTGATTTAATCTATCTCATCTCTTTATTCTATGCATCTGTTGACTCTGGAAACTCCTCTCTGTGCTCCACAGCCGGGTGACCTGGCACTGCCTCACTACTTCGGAGCTGCCATCAGTTTCATGTGTATCTGCTTCTACACTGTGTTGCTCACCTCACTGACCGGCAAGTGTGTGCTGACAGGATATGAGAGGGCTCTCTATCCGCTCCGCATCGTCTCCACTGTGGTTCAAACCATCGTTACCATTTGCTGTATCCTTTCATAAATGTTGGAGCTATGTTAACTTGTCTTTTGTGTGGTAGGTATTCTTCACAATTCTTCTATTTGAGGGCAATTGTGCACCAATAGGATGGTAGGTGTGCAGTGAGCTGGTAAAGCAGGTTGGATGAAAGTAAACATGGTAAACATTAATTTAGTGAAGCTTTAGGCATGATATTCCAGCAATTGACTCTAGCAGTGACGTATCCATTAGATAGTCCAGCTGCTCTGCAGTACAGTACTCCCCTGTGCCATATCTGGATCCGGTCTGCTGCTGAAGTATTTATAAAGTGGGACAGGTTACAACCATCTCTGACTACAACTAGAGCAGTTAAATGTTGATTTTAAAGCTTACAATAGCTGGTTACACCTCTATGTTTGGGGATTAGACCTCCAAGCCTCCAGTTTATGGGCTCAGATGAAAGTTTAATATAAACGCTTTGAGCACCAGGAAAAGCGCTTTATAAATGTAATGTATTATTATTATTATTATATACACACTAGCCTACAGGGTGAAAACAGCTGGCTTCTTGTATTTCTTGCATTGATAGATCTTTATTTTCTCTCTTACTGTCATGGAGTGTTTAGGGATTTTGCCAATGCTCATGAACTGATCTCAGGAGCTCTTTACAATGACAGGTTTTTAAGGGACTGACTGTGCTGCATCCTTAACTTGAAACCCTTCAGATACTGTTTTGTTTGCCCAGGACCAGTACTTTTACGTTCACTTGTCGGCTATATTTGAGTGGATGCTCAGCGTCAACCTGGAGCTGTTTGAGCTCAGCTTTGCTGTGGAGTTTTGTTTCTTCTCATCCTGCATGATCTCAAATCTGCTGACCAAACGAGAGGAGGAAAAGCCTTTGATTATATCGATGTCTTGATATGAGGCCCCCACGGTCCAGGTGCAGCACATAAGCAGGGAGGATGGACTGGGTAACACATCTGTGAGGACATCTGTGCCTGGACCTTGGCTTGGAGAACAGTGATGTACTTCTTCACTGCTCGGGTGGATTAATAGTTATTTATGAATTAGGAGCACTTTTGTTTTCGACCTTTGGATACGGTAGCCTAAACTTTTTTAAAACCAGGCATATCTGATTCTTATTCCTTATTTATTGAAACAAAGTTGAATAGCAAATGAACAAAACATGATACATTCCTTTCATCATGTCATGTTGATGCTCTGCCAACAGAACAATTAACTTTGATGTGTTCAACTTTAAGAATCCTTCTGCGTTTATCAGTTGTATTGTGCAATGACTTGTTATACTATTTTAACATAATCAACAATGAACAATCATCGTTAGTTACACTAATAAGGATCAGATTTACTGAAAATGTCGCTGATGTCAGCTTCCAATTATATTCCTTAGCACTTGTATATAGCTTAGACACTTTATTAAATCATGACCACTGTATACTCATAAGTCCTGTTATTCTGCTGATTGTACCTTGAAGCGTGGTACTAGAGTGGAGTGAGATGAAAAACAACCCGTTCAGGTATTTTCACTCCCTGTGGCGTCACTAAATCCTGTTTGACTGCATGACTAAGGGACAGCCGAATAATAGATCTGTCCGTGGGTTCTGAAAACAATGATGTTGAAATCCTCACCAGGTTACTGTTCCAGAAGAATGTAGTTTTAGGCGTGGTGGGCTGAATCTTTTTTATGTGTAAACTAGAGTAAGGAATCCTCAATGTAATGTACCTTTAAAGATATATTTATAGGTTACTGACAAGTATTTTCTCCCGTTTCTGTAGTGATGGGCGACTACTTTAATGCAATATTTGTGCCAGTTATAACAGGCTGCTAGACATACAGTAACTCACAAGTGTACGTCTTCTTTAATGTCCACTAAACAAGACAACATGCTTTCGGGTTTTAATGCAAAGCACTTAACCTTTACTTGAAAGAAGGTAATATACATCCTGGAATTACAGATAATAAAGATACATTATGAGCAAAATCATTTCACAATGAATATCATCTTTTCTTTGCATCAACCAAGAGAGGCGTGCAACATTATCTACAGTTTTTGTTAGGAAGAAAACAGTGAAAAGCACACCTAATTCTGTCAGCATCTTTATGGTACACTGTAAAAAAATCTCATCTATATGCAGTAGTACACATTATTGACCGTAGTAACAAAAAAGAGAAAAAAACACAATTTGAAAAAACACAAGTTTCATGGTCGTCTTTCAACTAAGTATTTCAATGTATACATTATAAATAAATGTAAGGGGAAGAAAAAAAAAGGTCAAAAAATACTACAAGCTATATTTTCACAATTCCAGCATGGCTGAAACAATAAGCGACCTTAAATGTAACCCCTATAATTTGGAGTGAGGCCACAGTTTTTACAAATCTTTAAGATACTGTAGATTTCTCTAACTGGGGCGCCTAAAAGCCCAACTCATGGTTAACACTTCTGGAAAAGTCAAGTTAAAACTGCCCTTAAAATTTGTTCTGTGAAAGATAAGTTGCCTACAATAAGTTTACCTGCAAGGTGAGAAAAAGCATTTGTAAGGAGGGTTAGAACCCAGAATAAGAAAAACACAAGGCTGTATAGTTACGTTTTTTTGCAACTCAAAGCCATTCGGGTACTGAAAGTAACCTTCATCTCAGCTAAGCTAAGGGAGGTCATCGGTATTAATCACAGAACTTTTCAACTCTAAAAAGGAAATAATGCGTATTCTCTAGCTTACGTGACATTTTGAGCCAAATGCTGTGCCTTTCTGGCCTCCTCCCAAATCATCATCATCACCCCGCTGCTGGGGGAAGCTCCAACTGTATACACTATGAACAAATCTCTTTTCAATAAAAAGGAAAAGACACTACAGTAGATGACAATTCATAAGTATTATTGTGATTATGCGGTTTGGTAATTGTTTAAATCTACAGCGAGTTGAAACCGGGGTGGAGGAGTTTTTCAAACGGAGAAGATGTTCTTGGTGGTGGATCCGCTCTTGCTGGATGTGTCGTCATGTGATTGGTAGCCGATGATGGCTTTGGTGGGGATGCTCAGACGCTCTTTATAATTTTGCCTGTGGAAAAGCAAGAAGCGTTATGAAGATGGACGCCAACTTAGTGTCTCCATCTAGTGGTAAACTAGACCACTATTACTTGAATTAGTGTCATTCTAAGGTCTACTAAGTGACTTTTTAACGTACCCTATCGTCATGATGGCGTCCCTGTTTTGGCAGTTGCTCGTCCAGATTGATATTTTGTCACCTTTGGGTCTGACGTTGACCACAGCTCCGTTCACATCTTCACTTGCCGCATCAAAGGACTCACCGACTAAACACAAGAGCTGCAAAATACACAAAATGGGACACATATGAATCATACTGTGGTTTTTTTGTCTTGAATGTGAAATGTTGAGATATAGGTTTATCTATGAGCTGCTCCATGAAAAACGCCCGCTTACCGTCTCCATCCAGTAGCGGTCAAGATCGTTGTGTCTCTGTTGCTTGTTGAGGGTCATCAGCCATCGACCCCCGAGCTTGTTCCTATCGTCTTCCCACATCGGCTTGATCCCATCCTGACACACAGAGTGAAAGGACACATTTTAAAACTTCATTCATGGTTGGTTAAAATTGAAGCATTGGAATACATTTGGAGAAAATTGAAATAGCTCCGACTCACAATGCTACCACTTAAACTGCACAGCTCTCCCACTGAGATACGGCACAGAGTAATAAGTCATATTCTTATTGTAATGTTTGTGTATTACATAGTTGTAAACGTTTCGTTTTAAATCTAATCATTTTTATAAACCTCTTGTGTTCATGTATGCACCAATTAACAACAAAGTGAATTCCTTGTATGTGTAAAGCTACTTGGCAAGAAACCTGATTCTCAATTGATTGACTTGGCTTGCTTAATACATTCTATTGTTGAAACGGAAAACAAATGTAGGCTTACCTTAAATAAACAATAATCACAGCCAAAGCCAAGTTTGCTAGGTTGCTGTATGTGGTTGTATAATCTGTAAGAAAAACAAAAAAGGGTTGGAAGTGTTCCAGATGGTTGACTCCAGTAACAGTACGAACTTCATCTGCATTGGTTGACAAACGGCAAGTCAAGAGTTAATTAAACATTGATAAAGGGCTATTAGAGATGCTCCGATCGATGGGCCGATATTCACTCTCTGCGCTCTCTATAAAGGCCGATCGCGAGAGCCGATCACATGACGTAAAATACATGAGACTTTCCTCTGTGCGCGGCAAAACAAGCTCGCCAGTCTGGCAGTATTTTAAGGTGTCCGAATATGACATTAAAATAGCGGTATGCAACGTGTGTGAAGCAGAAATCCTGCAGCTCCACCTGCTCTGACGGACCGGTGAGCGGTGCAAAACACACACTAACGGTACGTCCAAACAGCAGCTTTGAAAAAATCTTGAAAATCTTGGAGCTCTGTCTGAGAGCTTGGGGATTTTTTGCGAGCAACGCGACCAACAACCAATCACATGAATCTCCCGCCCCCGGCATAGAAAGCAAAAAACCCTGGGGATTTTTCAATTATATATATAAACTCCCCAAACAGGCGAAAACCTACCAGTTTCACCCAATGTCTCTGCGTCCTCCCTCCATGCCTGGTTCCTCCGGTTTGTATTCCGGTAAATAGTTCTGGTCGTAAAGAATCGGGTGATTTGCTACCGTAATTTCTCGTTTGGAATATGAGGAAATGAACTGCGGTCTGGCTCTCCCAGCTTGCACGCGGTTTGATTGGCTAGCGCTTGAACTGTCAGATTTGCATAAACGGGATTTCATTGCCTGACGCTTCCAGCTCAGCTTCAAAAGTTGAACATTGCTCAACTTTTGAATCCTGAAAATCCTGGAAATCTTCGCTTTCCCACAATGCAGTTCGGCGAAAAGCGAGGCAAAGTGACGTCACCCCCATTCAAAGTCAACGGGCAGAGAAGCGTTGGAAGATTTTTTTAAAGCTGCTGTGTGGACGTACCGTAAGAGTTAGACTTAACACACTTAGCTATTTTATATACCTCTGGAACAAGCTAAAACTAGTTATAAATATGTTTATTCTTCACTGTCGGGTCACTCATTACTGGATCAGTGAGCTGCATGAGATACTGACAGGCTGTCAGGGGAGGGAGAGAGGAAAAGAGAGAGGCTCCCGTTATTTCTCCCGTGTTATTATCCAAAGTGAATGTAAACCTAAATAATGTACTTCATTTGAATGTAATAATTATGTTGGTTTGTTGTTTGTGGAAGCGCCAGTGAATGAGCCCCATTAATAATGGGGCTCATTCACTGGCGCTTCCACAAACAACAAACCAACATAATTATTACATTCAAATGAAGTACATTATTTAGGTTTACATTCACTTTGGATANTGTGTGTGTGTGTGTGTGTGTGTGTGTGTGTGTGTGTGTGTGTGTGTGTGTGTGTGTGTTTGAGAGAGAAAGTAACTGGCCTGCAGGAGGAAGTGGCGGTGGCTGGCGTTGCTCACGCACAGGTTGTCCTGGTCCAGGTGCCTGCGAAACTTGCACAGGTAATCATTCTGTCGGCTGATGTCGGTGGCCAGGATCATGGAGCCCAACTCCCTCTCCATGTTCAGACTGCTTGGAAAGAAAAGAGGATCAGTGGTGGTGGTGTTAAAGTCTTAAAGTCATGTGACCAGTCCTAGTGACGAAATTCTAAGAAATTCTCCGTCCCGTTATCTAAGAATCTTGGGTAAGATGAAAGTTATTCATAAAGCATCTCAGACCTTGACGGTACGTCCACACAGCAGCTTTAAAAAAATCTTCCAACGCTTCTCTGCCCATTGACTTTGAATGGGGGTGACGTCACTTTGCCTCGCTTTTCGCCGAACTGCATTGTGGGAAAGCGAAGATTTCCAGGATTTTTTTCAGGATTCAAAAGTTGAGCAATGTTCAACTTTTGAAGCTGAGCTGGAAGCGTCAGCCAATCAAATCCCGTTTATGCAAATCTGACAGTTCAAGCGCTAGCCAATCAAACCGCGTGCAAGCTGGGAGAGACAGACCGCAGTTCATTTCCTCATATTCCAAACGAGATATTACGGTAGCAAATCACCCGGTTCTTTACGACCAGAACTATTTACCGGGATACAAACCGGAGGAACCAGGCATGGAGGGAGGTGGCAGAGACAGTGGGTGTAACTGGTAGGTTTTCGCCTGTTTGGGGAGTTTATATATATATATATGTGTATTGCTCGCATAAAATCCCCGTTTTTTTTTTGCTTTGTATATCGGGGGCGGGTAGATTCATGTGATTGGTTGTTGGTCGCAAAAAATCCCCAAGCTCTCAGACACGCCCACCTCCAAGATTTTCAAGATTTTTTCAAAGC